TGTCTGGATTCAGTCTTTCGTACAGGGCCTGTTGGGGCGGCAGCAGCAGCAACAGTCACAGTCACAGTCACGTCTTCCTGCTTCTGAAGGTTGACAGATCTCACCTCTGTCACAGTTTGTTGTTTGTGTTGACTTGTGGTTTTCTGCCCTGGCGACGCTGCAGTCACAACAGCGGTGTGACGTTCAAATCTGGGTCAGACGAGGGTGTGACGTGTTTGTTTGTTTGTTTGGTGGAGTCTTCCACTCAGTCGCCGTCTTATCATGCTGTAATAAATAAATCAACTCTGTTTTATTGGCCAAAGTTGATACAAGATAAAAATCTACAATCTACAATTATAGATATAATATTTCACCTTCTCAGTCATAAAAACAAACTAAATGGTTTTTTATTATATTTACTGACATTATAATATCAACAATGTTTCTGCAGGCACGGCCATCATCGCGTCTTCTCCTGTCGAGGCATCGCGCTGGCGGTGGAGACGTTCTGGAGGCGGGGCCACAGGGAGATCACAGTCTTCGTCCCCCAGTGGCGTCAGAAGAGAGACAGACTCACCATAGGTACATACACGAGCAGCGTTGAAGTGATGCCTCCAGTTCAGCTTTCATGTTTTTTTTGTTTGTTTTTTTCCCCTTTAATTGTGGATAAAGACAAAATCTGAACATTATTTTTCTCTCCTGATTCTGGACTGTGCAGAACAACATTTTCTGAACCAGCTGGAGGATCTGCGGCTGCTCTCCTTCACTCCCTCCAGAGAAGTGTGTGGACAGAGAATCGCATCACACGACGACAGGTAAACATCCCATATATGTCACGTATAAAGGATACATGTATACATACTGTACATATATCCATATATGTTCATATATTTACATATAGCCATATATATGTACATATATTTACATATATTCATATATATTTACATATATACATATATGTATATATGTACATATATTTACATATATCCATATATATACATAATTTACAAATATCGTATATATGTGCATATATACACGTGTGTGTGTGTGTGTATATATATATATGTATATTATAGCTTACATATATAAAATACATATATACATGCATTGCAGTGTTTCTCTCTGTGTCGTCAGGTTTCTTCTTCACTTGGCTGAGAAGACGGACGGCATCATCGTCACCAACGACAACCTTAGGAACTTTGTCAACGACTCCAACACCTGGAGGAAGATCATCAAGGAGAGGTGACCGAACACACATTCAAACACAGCTTACACAACGTGAGGCGGAAAAGTCCACTGAGGTGGACTGACTGCCCTGATCTATGGTCAGGGATTTTATTACAACAACATTTGTCATTTTTGTCAGGACTTTTACAAAAAAAATAAAAGTAACAGCTAATACAAACAAAACGCTAATAAATGATGTGCAAACAAAATAAATAAAATAATAAATGATTGACTTTTTTAATAAAAAATTAAGTCAAACATGTCAACTTAACCAACTAAGAAAAAAAACCCAATTTGTTATTCAATACTGTGTCGCCCTCTACTGGCCAATGTTCAGCTCAACTCTATTAGATCAGCACCTATAACTGTGAGTAAACAGGAAGTCAGAGTCTGACAAACTGCTCTGATTCGGCCTGTGTTTTTCCAGTGACATATCTGTACGTTAGTTTGATTGGTTGGTTTCCCTCAGGTGACTGTTCTGTTTCTGAAGGAAAATCCACCAATCAGAAACCTCCTGCAGACGGAAGGTTTAAGACGTCGGCCTTCGATTGAAGTCTTTGCACGTTCATTGACTGTGATGTTAACAGACAATCCGACCCTGTGATTGACAGGTTGCTGCAGTTCACGTTTGTGGACGATCACTTCATGATCCCTGACGATCCTCTGGGGAGAAACGGACCACATCTGGACCACTTCCTCAGGAAACCAATCAGGTGTGTGTGTGTGTGTGTGTCACAAGTTAGATCAAAAGTAGCTAAAACTAGGTATGTACTAGGTACGACCCATATTAGCATAATTATGTCATATCTAGTAGAACCGTTATCCGTTATTCCTGTGATAATGAAAACCCGATAACGCAATGGTTGGGTTTCGCTAAATGAGTGCCTTTTTGGGAAAAACAGCTGTATATGAAAGTGAAAGCCACTAGATGGCAGAATTGTAGCTCATGTTATTAATCTATTTTAATTGCTAAAGATTAAGCAGATTGCTAAAGTTATACCTGAGCTAGCTACAACCTGTTTTTGGAAACAGCGTTCAGTGAAGTTAACGAACTTTATCATCGTTCCTAAAGTCACTGTCTCCGTGCGTCTCCTCCTCCCAGGAGACCTGCAGTGACGACTCCTCCTCCTCCTCCACTCAGACCTCCTGACTCTCGCCCCCTCCCACAGCAGCAGCAGCCCGTCTACGTCCAGGCTCTCCACTCGGCTCCTTGGACCCCCGCCTCCACTCCCAGGCCCCCTCCCTCCCTGGCACCCCACCCCGCTTCCACCCACTGGCCTCACTCCGGTCCTCCTGAGTGGCACCAGCCTCGCCGATCGCCCTCCCCGTCGCCCTCGACCCCGCCGCAGCGGTCGGCGGTGGAGACGTCGGAGCTCAAGAGGAAGCTGTACGACATTTTCCCAGACCAAAAGCAGCGGATCGACCGCATCCTCAGCGACAACCCGTACATGAGAGACCTCAATGCTCTGTCGGGGCTGTTGCTGGGTTAGAGGACTGACCCACACGTGGACACAGCATGAACCATGAGCTGTACATAAGAAAATGGTCACAGCCCGATTTGAATCTGTTTGAATCTCGCGGAGAAGTTTTTTTTGTTTTTTCGCCCGGACATCTTGAAACTTCTCAGTAAAAATCATCGTAACGCTTGTTCAACCCAGTTGAAATTCAAAGGCTGCAGCCATTTTTCTTATTAAGAGTCTATGGAGTTTACACAGCATAAATATATAATTTATTTTTGACATCTTTACCAGCCTGGAGGACATTGAAACTCGCTGCTATTGGCAATTTGTCTTTAAGTTCTGTTCACTTTTTTTTTTTTTTTTTTTTTACTGCTTTTCCATTTGATGCACAAGAACAACACTGGCTTCTCAGACGTTGGAGCAGGAAAAAAGTTGCAGGGAATCATTGTCAGGAAGGTCCTCAACAAAGGTCCTGAGGCCGGACAAATATAGACAAAGATCTGGGGAGAAAACCCCGCCTCCAGACTTTTGAACATTTTCACCAACTTGTTTTCTTTTCCTCCCATTATTACACTGGCCGCTTTATGCACGTTTTCACAGAGGAATCGTCTGGAGAAGAATTAGTTCAGATCACCTGAAGAAAACAGAGCTATTTGAGTTTAGTTTTGAAAGAAAAAATAATAATTTTGAAGTAAAACATCACATTTTTGATTTTTGTTTTTTAAGGTTCTGATCTGAATCAACCCGAGTTCTTGGTACTTTTATTAGCGAGCAGCTCTTTGGTCTTTGGCTTCTGGTCTCGTCCAGTTTTCTTTTCCTCTCGACTGTCGACGTCGACTGTTTCATGTTGGGTTCAAAGACTGTATTGAAGAAATGGAATCATCTCAGCTGGTCGTGGCTAGTAGGAGTTGACACAAGTGGGCAGCGTAGTGCAGGTGCAGGTGGAAGTTACTTTAAAATTAAGCTGCTAACTGCTTGATTTGTTACATCGTTATCTTGAAATAATTCGTTTTTTGTCAGCAAGTTATTTAAACGTGAGCAAGTTTGACAAATTTAGTCTTCTGTGAAGAAGTTCAGTTCATTGAAGAAGAAGAAGAAGAAGAAGAAGAAGAAGGGAGTTGAATAATTGAAATAAAAACATTTTTTCTAATAATTGACCATCACAGCAGTTATTAGTTGTGGAGGAAAACGAGACATTCAAGTGAAGTGTTAAACACAGGTGTTCAAAAGTCCTGAATCTGAACGCATTGTGAAATTCCATAGGTAAAAAAGTTTTTTGTAACTCCACCAGGGGGCTACGGCCTTTATTTTTCTATACTGTCTGTGGTTCACTTCTAAAACCGTTCTCCTTCATTTTGGCTCCATTTGTCTTATATTCGTTAAAAAAACTCCCACCCCCAAAGCCTGCCTCCACTGGCCAATATTGGCAGTACGCCTTAAGTCTTGACTTTACAAAAATGTTAGCGTCCCTTTGACATAGTTGCACTGTTGAGTTCAAAGACAAAGAGTGAAAGAGTTGAAGTTTCGGTTTTTCCAGGAGGACTTTTGGAGTTTGTTCGAGATTCCTTCGCATTGTTGTCGTCGTCTGTTCGGGCGATAACGTGTTTCCACAGAGACCCAACACTAAAGGAGCTGCTTTCAAATCTTTGCTAATCCCACGTGCTTATGTTTGGTTGCCAACAGGAAAACGTTACTTTATTTTACTGGGGTGACATTTGTAATTAGTGTTAAATAGCTGAGTTTATCGCACTGAAGTCGAGTGAAACGAGGTCTCACTGATGATCCTTCGTCAATGCTCGGAGTATTTGTTTTAACCCCTCCCTCCCCTCTCTGCCTCACCCCTGCAGCCCCTCATATTTACCGTCTCTCTCTGCCAGTTTCTGTAAATATTCACTTTACACTTTATCTCCTCGTGGATGGAAAGAATCTGCACAAAAATCTTTACAGGGAGTAAATAAGGAGAGAAGTTGGTTTCCCACCAGCAGCCGTGGTCTTTGTGAGGAAACCCCCCCCCCCGAAGGACTTTGATTTATTATTTAGTTTGTTTGTTTTTTTCTGTTGTATTATATTTCTCCTGGTGTATATCGGTTCTTCTGTTTTGTAAATGCTAGCATCTTTTTGGCTACAGTTCACAAATGTTTTCATGTCCGTGGGAAAAGATCAGTGAAATAAAACACAGCAGTCCCCGTTCAAACTCCTCGGTGGTTGTCATCAGTTACACAGAGGGCGCTGTTGTTCCTCTTTTTTGCTTCTCTACATTTATTTGGTTATAAAAATGTGTTTTTTTGTTGTTTTTTTTTTTTTTGAGCTGCTTCTTTAATTCCTTTTGCTACTCCTTTGCCTTCATCATCTTCTCCCCCATCTTCTTCCTCCTCTTTCTCCACGTCCCTAAAATCGTCTCTTTTTTCCCATTGTTTTTGCTTGTACCTCCATCTTGATGTCAATCATCTCACTACAGTGGTAAGTTCTGGGAACTTCAGGTCCTTTCAGCATCTGGTTGTTGTAGTCACTGGTCGTTATGGTTACCAAGAGAGATCTCTTCATGGTTTATAGTCACACTAACTCCAGCTGCAGACGTCTGTCTCCTCTGCTCTGTTTTCCAGCTCCTCTTGATCCTCCTGGTTTCCCCAGAGACTCCCTGAAGTGAGAGGTTTTTCCTGGACTCTCCAGGAAAGACCGGGTCAAGTTGGTGGACCCAGAGAAGACTATGGGATTTAAGGTGACCATCCTGACGTCAGTTCAGGTGGTTTGGATTAAAAGGTGGTTTTGGGGGGAAGATCATTTGATGGCTTTCTACTTTGAAACCTCTGTGTTTTAAAGCTGTGTTTCCATTCCATTATTTTATTTATTATTATTTACTTTATTAAACTCCAGTAAACATTTTTTAAGACTGATCATGACAAAGTTACTGTACAGTATTTTTATTATTTTATAAAGGTTATGGGGAGACGCACTCACTGTGCAGCAAAGGTGATTTTTACCTATATTAACCTATAATGATGTACCACCAGGGGTCAGTATAACATCTACAACTGGGATTTTTCGTTGAAATCATCACTTACAGTAGAGTCTGCTGACGTTACATCGGTTGACAGATGAACTACTCCGTGAAGTACTCCTGGTTCTGGTTCTGGTTCTGGTAACGACACGAAGCCAGAATTGAGCATTAAAATAATAGAAGAATAAAACAAAAAAAATTCTGCTTCATCTGATGTGAACAATCTGGGAACAGTTTTTTTTTTTATTATTCCACTATTTCAAACCTCAGGGGTTAAAGGTCCTGGTCCTTGTCCCTGGCCCTGGACCTTTACCAGGACCAGGACCAAGACTCGGAACAGCTGAGTGTGCTCATAGTGAAAGTGGATTTCTTTTTTCTTTTCTAAAAGCTCACCCCTTTTAGGAAGTTTTGCTTATATGCAAACCTGAACATGATCCCAGCGGTATGTGAGGAAATGTAAATTCTTCAGCCTGAATAATTTCCTGGAATTTCCTGGAAACACGGAGAATCCACAGACTTTTGTCTTTGGCTGTGGATTTAAGTCCAGATGTGGTCAGAAAGGAAATACATCCTGTTGCTTCTGTCAGTTTGAGCTTCATACTTTCTGCCTACTCTGTGTTACAGCTGTCTGGTTACTGTGGTGCAGTCATTAAAGGGACAGTTCAGGGTTTATTTTTGTTTTTGTTTTGCTTTTTTTTAGAGTGGAAAAAGTCAATATTTACTTTGAAAACACTAAAAACAGTAACAATAATTGTTACCTTCTTTTTTTTTTTTTTTTGGAAATCTACAAATTCCTTTACAGAAAATATAGATTTTTACCTTCAACCTGACATGCTGTAGAACCTGTTGGTCTTATTTGGCAGGTTTTGGAAAGTAAGTTAATCACCTTAATCTCCAAGATGTTTGAGGTTTAAACTGGATTAGATTTGACAATTCTGTAATTGACTTTACTGATCATTTCTCTCTCTCTCTCTGTTCCACAGGTCCCCCATGTTTTTCTGATCATCCACGTCTCAGACTGGTTCCTGGGCCCAGCTCTGACGCTGTGTCAGAACCTTGATTCCACAGTGTTGATATTAGGTAGGAGAACCTTACATAAGTCTTTACATAGCAAACTTTTCTCTCACAAAATGCAAATGGATGAGCTTCAGGCACCGAGAGTCTCGTCAACACTGACTCTGTCGGTGTGTGTGTGTGTGTGTATCCATGTGGTTGAAAGTGCTCATGGGAATCATTTGCATCTCTGCCACTATTAAAAAATAGAGAGAGAAATAGCCAGAAAATAATTCCCAGCAGGCCGTGCGACATATCCACCGATACCAATATAGGCCTGATAATATTTATTTATTTGTTTATCTGTACAAACCACTGTATGAGTTGCTGGCACCAGCATTCTGATTATTAAAATAGATTAATAAAATGAGCTGCAATACTGCCATCTAGTGGCTTTCACTTTCATATACAGCCGTTTTTCCCCAGAACTGTTGGTTCACAACCTGTTGCAGACACAGAGTCTCAACTGGAAACCAGTCGTCAGTGGTCGTCTGTGATGAACCCACGGAGGAGGAGGAGGAGCTACAAATACACACAGATTTTTATCTTTTCTACTTCCCTCTGTCCCTCATTCCATCACCGCCTGTTTCCCCTCGTATACTTCCTTACCTCCCCCATCCTCTCAGTCTCCTTCCTTCTGGAATTCTCCATTCTGTACTACATCTAGGAAGGTTGAATTCCTACAGCATACCAGCAGAGCTTAACATTCCCACACTTCCTCCCCCATCAGCTCCCTCACCCACGTCGGAGCCCGTACTCCTGCTCTGTCTGTAGTCTAATTCCCAACCCTGCGCCAGTCTGAGGGAACGACTGAAATTCATCTGCAGCAACGGCGCGTTCCGTGTTGAGTGATGAGAATATTGATGCTCTTTGTATTGACACTCTGCCAGGATCACTGACTGTGAAAGAACCGCCGACTGACGGATGTCAGTCAGCTCCGCTGCTGCGGACGGACGCACGCCGTGTGTGATCCCGTCACGATACTCAAAATAAAGACCTGCTGAGTTCATTGGTGCAACGTAAGGTCCATCCCATCCCCTGGAGCACATCTGTCAAACACAAGGCCCGGGGGCCAAATTTGGCCCGCCAAGTGATTTTGTATGGCCCACAGAACAAAGTCAGTAAGTCTGTTTCTTCTTTGATTATTGTAGTCTGAGTCTTGTTCACCTTTACAATACATTTACATAACCAATCCCCTCCTCTAATCCCAGCCCGTGACCCCACTCCTCCACCGGCCATCTCCTCTTTGCTCCTGCAATCTGTCTCCCTTCTCACTTGTATCAAGGGTGGGGGAGGAGAGGGATGGAGTCACTTATGTCCAGATTACTACACATCCCCTTAATCTTAATCTTAATCTCACCAAAGGACTATATCCTGTGTGGTATCATGAATCACTTGACCCTGTTGTGAACTGATTGATAGTTGTTCTATATTTATGTCTTCATGTGGGTTTTTTTTTTTATATAGGATATGTTTATCAAATATTTTTATATCAGGTATAAATTTGTCCCATAAATCTAAACATAGGGTCCAGAAATAGCTGGCATTGTGAGCAATATTATTTAAAAGTTAAAAAAAAAAAAAACATAACAATGTTAGGACAAATTTACCTTGAATAGATAATTATTATTAAGCCTAATGTAAAGATTAGTTAAAAGAAAATAATAAATGTAACTTTTTTTTAACCCGGCCACCGAGAATTGAGTGATAATGACTAAGTAATGTATTATTATAACACATTTATAATAATAATAATTATTATTATTATTATTGTTATTATTATTATTATTATTATTATTATTATTATTATTATTATTATTATCATCAGTGCAGACTGTGCCGGGTTTGCGCGTTCCCGACATAAACTTCAACAACTGTGCGCGCTCCTGAACGGCTGCTACTTAACGCCTGGCGTCTGCTCCGAGCTCCAGGAACAGCCGAGCAGCACCAATGTGTAAGAGTCAGTCTGGCGAATGAAAGACGGATTTAAAGACGGATATCTCCCCCCGCAGGTCCCGTCTGACGCCGCACATTCGCTTGTTCAGCAGCAGCGTACGGAAGGCTGATTTGTCCGAGGTGAGAGACTGTTCCGTTATCGAGTCTAGAAGCGAATTTTAAGTGCTGTATGTGAGTATTGGTTGGGGTGTGTGTGTGTGGGTATGGGTTCGGGGAGAAAACAACAGCTCCGCTGTAGCAGCAGACGTTAGCTTCCTCCGTTATCATGTTAGCTGCTAATGCTGCTAACGTTAGCATTTTTTGCCTGTGAAAACGGAAGGGAATGCTGCGTTGTTGTTTGTTTATGATTGTGACGTTTATACTTGCATACCGCTGACGCTTCAGTGTGAACGTCACGCAGGGTTTTGTTCAACAATGTGTGTGTTTAAACGTTAAAAGTCGTTGCCATGTTCGCACTAGCTTGCTAAGCTAACTAGCGCTACCGCTACGGTAGCCCTGCTTTACGGCAGAAATGAGGCCTCGTACGTCTGGAACAGTTGTTGTCTGGCTCGCTTTGCCAGACTGGGCCGTTTGTTGCCCCGAAAGCAGGTTTGTTAAGGTGAAGAGGGGCATACAGCGGCGTTTGTTTCGTGCTACAGCCGTACTGACATAACCTGATTTGGTGACAGTGGCTGTGGAGGAAGTGATGACTTAATGTTTACTCAGAGAAAAGCCTCCGTGGCTGCTGCTGCTTCTGCTGCTGTAAGAGAAACCACTCACTGTGACTGTGTCTGTTTGACCTGCGTCCAGGAGGAGGACGAGTGAATGTCAGCACTGGCATATTGTTATTGCTCACATGGTCTGTATTTGTTATGTTTCCAATCACTGTAACGCTGGAGTCTTTTTAAGTTACATTGAACAAGGACACCTGTTTGCTGTATTGCGCTATAAGAAAGTGAACGATGATGACATCACGACTCGACCTTTAAGACAAAGTTCACTCGGTCAAAGCAGGGGAACTAAAAAAGCAAAAGCCCATTCGGTTGTTGTCCACACTTTTGTTCAGTAGTTGAAGCCTGTGTGCAGCATGTGGACAGAAACATCAGTCACCCTCAGGGAATCCCCAAGAAAAAAACAAAACAAAGGTTTTCATCATTGGAAAAAAAATAGTAGTTTATTCAAAAACCTGCACTTTCTTATTGCATAAGTTTTAAAATTAACATGATCTAGATTTACATGATAACTGTTGTTTTTGTTAGGGTTTTTTGATGACCACAAAGTCATTATTTATACATTAAGGACTTCATGTCTGTGCTGTCTGAACCTGAGCACCCGACAAGAATTTGGACGTTAATTTCAGTTGACCACACATTAAGAGTAATTACACGTAGTACTTGTAGAAGTATAACTGTGGTGCTGCTTAGACTGTATGCTAAAGCAATACATTGTTGTGACAAGCAACTCTGGTCGGAAATAGTCATTGCTTTTTGTAGTATCTATTCTATTTAAGGAAAAATCTGTATTAGTTAACCTGTCAAGCTAATGTAAAATGTCATAAAAATTTTTTTTTTTGGTAGTATTATTACTACTATTTGATTTAAAAAAACTTTTTATAGTATCTGTTTTATTTAGGTAAGATATGTACCTGTCAAGCTAATATATAATGTCATAAAAACTATTGTTATTATTACTATTTGACTATTACTATCTATCATTAGACTGTTTATGATGTTAGGCATGATCTTAGCATCGGTTGAGCAACAGTAGAAGTTAGACTTCTAGAAGAACATGTGCAAACAAGCAAACGTTAGCTTAACTGCAAGAATAAAAATATATATCATCAGCTGTTCCAAAGATGCAGAGGTGTGAGTAGAAAAGTGTGGGATCTTCCTGCGTTGTAATGGCAACCACCCTGGAGATGATTATCGCTTTGTTACAGTAATTACTCTAATTGTGTAATTTTGCCACACTGGAGCTGCAGTCAAGACAACTCAGGATCCAGGCATCAGGCTGTCGGTGCCAAGTACAAGATGTGGTTGAGGGAATAAATCAAGGAAACGTCTGGTCTCTAGACCACAGTCGAATTTTTTACCTGAGGCTCGATTACAAAATCACGCAGGATCTTTCTTTTCTTTTTCTTTTCAATGCCCTGCACACCTGTACGTGTATCATCCATTGTTGCCGGTAGTTTCTCATTGCCTCCAGTTTACCGTGACTTGGAATCTAACCAGCATCCCTCGTTTAGGCCACAGGGCAGAGACATGTCAGGTCAGTGCGCCTGCACACACACACACACACACACACACACACACACACACACACACCCTGCTGCTTTTCTAACTGAGGCAGTTGCAGCAGAGTGAACCTGGAAAGTGTTCTTAGTTTCTCGTGTCCAGATTTGTACAGCGTTTGTTGTCCTGCGAGGAAACTGTGGCGTTGAACTGGCGTTGAACTGTGGGTTTCAGAGCGACTTAGTGGCATTGGTTAATGCAGCCACAGAGATGGTTTTTTTATATGTGGATAGATGTTGACAGATGATGGGGATTTGTGTCAGTGATAGGAAACACTTATCCTCATGAAATCCTATTACTCAGTTGTATGTCATACATTTATGAGGAATTCCGTACAGCAGCGGTCCCTGACCCTTTTTTTTTTTTTTTTTTCCCAAGGAGTGGGGGGCCGATATCAGCCGTTACTGCGGACCGGTAATACATCGTTGAAGGATCATTACATTTTCAAGATAAAAACCTCTTTCAGACCTTCTTGTTAGTATCAGAGTCTGAATGACCGATAAAATCTCTTTCAGACTTTCTTCTGTTAGTATCAGAGTCTGAATGACCTTTGACCTGTTGTTTTGAAACATTGACAGATATTCTTTGAATGAAAACAGTAAAGGGATATGACTGGATTATTCTAGAATGAAATAAATTAGTAAAACTGAAGTACATTTTTCTTTTCCCCACTGTGTCCCACTGCAGCCCTGTACCAAATGACCTACGGACCTGCACTGGTCCCCGCACCGGGGGTTCGTGACCCCTGCTCTACAGAATGATTAATAGTGTTGTATCAATATTTGTCTTTCTATTATTTTACTTATTATGTTGGTTTATGTTGTTTTCAGTGATAGTAAAAGTAACTGGAAATTACAGGCCCATCTTTTTTTTTCTTTTTTAGTCACTGTGCAGGTAAAATAAGAAAATTTGATTCTGTTCACTGCTCCAAGTGTTGAATTATTTACATTTATGCGTTTAGCTGAGGCTTTTATCTGAGGTGACTTACATAAGGAGAATTAAGTACATGGTTCCACTGGGACTTGAACCCAGGACCTTCTGTGTGTAAGGCAGCCATAGGACCACCATTGTACATCAGTCCACATTTATGCCGTTCTTTGGTTTGACTCATAATTCCTAGTTTTCCTGTAACACATAATACAGCCTGTTTGCCAACGTTGCCCTTGATACACTGTATATACCTATATTGCATTCATTGGCTTTAAATGTTAACAATTTTTGTATAGATGACACTTTTTTTTCGTACACCTGGTAGGGTGCAATGAAACTTTTTTTTCGTACACCTGGTAGGGTGAGTGGCACAAAGAATGATGTTCAGCGTGTGCAGGCATAGAGGCATTATCAGACACCAAGCATCAAACAACTTATAGTTTTGTATATTTTTGTTTCAGTTAAAGTCCAGAAGGTGGAAAAGGGAATTTTTCAGATGCTTCAGTTTTGTTTTTCTGTATGGCAAAATATTTTTTGCCTGTTTCTTATGTACTGTAATGACGTGTTTCATTTTGTGTTTTTTTTTTTTTGTGTGTGTTGTTGCCTCATAATACCCTTCGGTGCAGTCTCTGCGGGAATATGGCTCTCCGATTGTGCTTGTTACTAATTAATGTCGAGTCATTGTACCTGCAGTATCAGTAAAGATGACACACATCATCTGTTACAAGTTGCCTTTGTCCAGTATTTATTATTATTATTTTAGAAATATCTCCTGTTTTAACCCAAACGTCAGGTTTACTCCTCCCACCCTGTAGTTTAGTGTAACGTTGTACTTCTGAGCCGACTGTCTTCTCCTGTGGCTCAGCTGTTGTCACCCGATGACCTGTGTTACCTGTGCACGCGTAGTGTCACATGGTCTCACACACACTGTACCCGTTTTATGTAACATTTCCTGACTGTGTACTGTTTTTTTTTTTTTACAGCAACAAGTGCTTTCGTTCAAGGGTGTATTTACTTAAAGTAACTCCTTCATTTGATTACATTAAAAAGTCTGTTTCATAATCAAGCAGAAATAAATATCAACTACCCAGGAGGCGGGGCAGTTAGACTGAACCCGTTACCTCTGTCTCAGTAAAGATTGAGGTCTGAGTTCAGCGTTATTTAAACTAAAACATAGGTAAAGAAGCATGATGCTAGTCATGATTTTATAGTTTTTATTTCTCACAAATCAAGAAAACATACCAGATTTTTTTTTTTTCTCTATGACTAACCCTCGTACTCGGGATGTGATACCAGGTCGACATAACCGTATCTTTGGTTACAGCACCGTCCAGTACAGAGAGCTCGCTTCTCTTTTGCACGATCAACAGCTGTTCTGACTGTGTGTGTGTGTGTGTGTGTACCTGTATGCATCTCAGTACATGTGTGTGTTTGTGTTTGTGTGTGTGTGTGAGAGAAAGAGAGACTCATTGGCCTGTAACCAGTGAGGTAATTCTAGATCTCCTACTGGTGCCAAAGGGAGTCCCTGTCTGTGGTGTCACTGTCTTTGTGCATGTTCATGAGATACAACGTTGTGTGTGTGTGTGTGTGTGCGTCTGTGTATTTTTTTTTTTCCCTTCCCCTTTTCTGTGATATCACGACTCTTTGTGGCTTCACCATGGTAACAAGCAGGTCGGCTGCACTGTTGTTGTTTTTTTTTCTTTTCCCCCTGTTATGGAAAAGAGGTGGCTGCCAAAGTGAACGATGTTATAACGTGACCACAGAAGGAAATGTTTCTTAATGTGTTGCTTTCTTCTAAGTACGAGTCCTAAAGAGGTTGCTACGGTTACATACTTAGTTGTTGGAAGTCCAAAAAATTGGGAAATACAAAATCAGGCTGTTTTTGTGACTCGTAGAATGTTCTAACTTAGCCATTTGGCT